CTCCAGCCTGGGCAACAGGAGCCTGGGCTGTAGTTAGGAGGCAATGGGCATGGGCAAGAACTTTGGAAATAAACCTGTATCAGCCATGGCAGAGGCAGGGTTGGAAGGGATGGACCATTGACAAGGAAGCCAGTAAGGAGGCAGCCACATGGTCTGTGAGCAGGAGCAAAGGTGAACTCCTGCTATAATCTCAAACACGCCATGCTGGGGTGGCCCAAGGAGGCTGGCCCACTCCAGGGAGGCCACAGGACCAGGGTGGCAGAGACAGCTCATCTCTCCGATTGATTAGTAGTAACTGCTTGGAACATTGTCTGGAGCAGAGTTCAGGCAGTGTGGGAACCCCTGGAGAAACAGAGCCACTGTTGATTAGTGATGTCTGAGGTGGGGCTGTAAGGAGGCTTGGCGGCCTTCGTTCATTCATCCACACATTCATCAACTGTTCATTCAGTGCCCGTGTGCCAGCATGTCTGCAATGATGCTGCCCTCTTAGCTCAGTTCACAAAGGCTTGGCCACATAAAGAGGGAAAAGGTCCAAGGCCAGGCTTCTCTCAGCTCTAAGCCCCTCTCCCTTCAAGCCTCTCTGAAGCCTCATAGAAGATTACCTGGTCTGGGGCCTGTTTCCTCCCGGTCTTGAACAAATTAGATGCTTGGGAGTTATTTGTGGTAGGAAGAAAACAAAAATGAGTGAATTACCTCATTTTCCATGTTTTATTCATTCATTCAACAAAGAAACCAATATATACACTTTGCAAGGCCCTTTCAAGGATTGGGGGTTGAAATAGATCCAAACTTTGCTCTCCAGGAGTTCATAGTACCATCTGACATTAGACACGTGCCCACAGTTCTGTAAAATGCTGTCACTGTTTGTCAATCTGAGTTACTCAGGGTGCCTGGCTTCAGGGAGGCAGGCATAGTTTGTCTGGGGTCCAGGTCACCAGAAGGGAGACACGTGTAAGGGCAAAAATCCCAGGGGTAAAGGTGAAGCCAGCCCCTCCCCACAAACCAGGGACCCTGTGCACCGCTATCTTCCTGGAACCAGGAAACAGAAAGAAGCTGTGAAGGTATGGGGGGCAGCAAGAGGGCAAGACAAGAACAATGGTACAGATCCACTCAAAGGGTGTCCTTGGAGATGTCTGAGTCTTGATGTTTGTTTCCGAGGCTGCTGGCAATGACCAGTTCGTGTCTCAGGAAGCAGCATAGGAGGGAGGAAAATGTAGCTCCAACTCACCCCACTAGCCGGCTTCCGATGGCTGACCACAGTGTGGTCCCTGTCTTACCCTAATTAGCTGTCCCTGTGCCTCTGTCCAGACTCACTGGTAAGCTCTTGAGGAGAGGGGCTCTGCTTGTACCTGCAGCTTCCAACACGGTCCCTGCACATGGCAATGCTACCCAGTGCCTGGCCCCTGGGACCTGCTTACTCATGCCTCCACTGGCTGTGAGAAAGGGGAGTTTGGTGGAGGTCAAGAAATCCGGAATAAAAGAGGACAGCACAGGGCCATGAAGGGTGTGGCCATGGAGACAGGAAGGAGTGTAGCGTGGAGAGATGGACACTTGCTCAGAACCTCATCTCCAGAACTTAACCCTCTCTTCTGGGATAGCCTCAGGCAAGACCCAGGAAGCAGCACACAGTCTGTAGACAGAGTCTTTGGAGAGTCTTGCAAAGCTTGGTCTGTGAGCTGAGATCTCCAACTCCCAGAGCCGTTCTTTCTGGTTTTGTCCTGCAGAGCGCAGGAGCCTGGCACACACACATAGAGATGCGTGTGCATGCGTGGGGCTTCAGGCAGACTCACCTAGGACGATCTTGTGGGCCCCTGGAGAGGGTCCCCTCATCCCTTTATGGCCTGTGCCTGGTGACCCAGAGCAGACAACAGGGCAAGGAGAGTGTGCTACAAACAGATTCACAGGTGACTCTGACCACAAACCCAAGACCGGACTGCAAAGGGCTTTCACGGGGCCCCGTGAGGGTAGCTCCTCACAGTTTATATTTTGCTGAGGGTCTTCTTGCATGGTGCTTGCATAAAACTGTTTAGAAGACTGCCAGTGGAAGCTGAATCTATCTGAAATGGAATTCCATTTTCTGGAAATGTACACGAGTGTATGTGTGGGTGTGCATGTGCACAGGAGAGGGAGTGTGCATGTGTTTGCATACGCAGGTTGCTGTGCTGGAGAGGAAGCTGGGAAAGGAAAGGAGAGCATGGACTTTTAGTCATCCACATATATACATATGTGTACACACACGCATCTATCCACAGCCTGTCTCCCAAATCGGTGGCTCTAAGTCACTTTCTTGTAGATTAGAGCCCAAGGCTTCAACCTTGCCTGCAAGTTAAGATCACTGAGGAGCTTGTGAAAGACCAGGCCACACCCCAGACCAATACATCAGAATTTCTGAAGATGAAATTTGGCCCATCAATACAAATATTTAATAATCTCCTCGGGTGATTCCAATGTCCTGCCAGAGCTGAATGCTCCTCTGCATAGAAAGCCCTTCTATTCCCCTTCTCAGAAAGCTTCTATTCACCTTTTAAAACCCAAGTCCCATGGCTATTTTCCAGGAAAATCCTTCCTGAGAGCCGCCCCGGGAGTTCTTTCTTTCCTGAAGCTCCTGACAATACCTTAGTTGTCTGACTGCAATTATAATTATTTGCTTGTCTACCTGTCTGTCCCACCCCGCCGCCCACCCCGTACAGAACCTGGAGCTCCATGATGGCATGCCTATCTTAGTGTCTGACAGACAGCTGGCCATCAGTGATGCTTCAGAATGAAAGGAATGTAATGAAGACCATATGCAGAAGCGAGATGGGAGGTAGGGGATGGGCCGTCTCTGGGTGGTAAGGCCATGGGTCTGCTCCCTTGGCAGCAGAATGGGGGTACACTCCATACCCTTTAGTAACAGAAATGGTCCTTTATGTCAACAATTTGATGCTGGCTGGTCCACATGTCCTGCTTCCTTAGGACAAGAGAGCAATGCTGTTATCTGTGCCGGGGTCACAGGGTGGCTGAACTTTCCTAAAGGACCCTTGTGACCCCATTTCACACCCACTGTGTCCAGTTGGCTTCCAGAGAACTTTTGCTCTGCAGAGTGCTCAGGGCCACCTGGGTCCCCTGTTTCTGCGCCAGCCCAGGGATCCAGGACAGCCCACATACTGTGGTCCTCGGTAAAGGGGCAGCCTGGGAAACACTAGTGCAAGGGGGGCTTCCTGCAGCCAATCCCACCCCAGCCCAGGAATCTGAGCAGCAGAGACGAGAAAGTGACACAGGTGAAACCAAGACACAAACTGTGCCCTGCATGGCTGCAGCCTCCAATTCCCTCCTTTCCCCCTTTTCTTGGGCAGCCCTGTCCCTTCGGCCTTGACAGTGCTCTCCTATTTCTTATCACCCCTTCTCCTGGTCCCAATGGGCCTTTATTGTTCCTATCTTAGGCCCACTGAGATGAAGCCGTGTGACAAGGACACAAAGAGACTTTGGGCTGGGACGGGGTGTGGTGGTGCTGGAAAGGGTTTGAGAGCACAGGATTCCGAGTGAGGCCATCCTGACTCGACAACTGGTTCTGTCACCAACTGGCCCTGTCTTCTTGAGGCCTCGGTTTCCTCATCCGTGAAATGGAGCGAATAATAGGGGCCCTCATCTCATGAATCCACGGTACAGATTAAGTGCAGTGCTGACAGAGAGGGCTCCTCATGTGTTCCTGACCAGGCCTCCTGGTCACTAGTCCAGGCTGAGACTACTGTGGGAGCCGCCCTCTACCCACTTCCACACAGACACACACACTCACACAGACATACACACTCTCACCTGTACAGTGTCTGCTCCCGAAAGGCTCTCAACCTGGAGGCAGAGACCAACCTCCTCCCTCACACACCCCAGCCGACGACCGGCCAGAGTCCTGGTCACCCACAGAGTCCACTCCACACAAGTATTTTCTTGACATTTTGGGGCTTTTACTTCAATTTGAAGCAGATGGTTGAGCACAGACGTGAACAGCTTTGGCTTTTGGAGCACAAGGAAGGAGCGAGCCTTGGCTTTGAACATGCCCACTGACCCCCACATACTGGCCCAGTCCCTGGTCCCTTCCTCCTCTGCCCCTGCACACCCTGTAACAGACAGACTGCCAGCCTCCAAGTGGGGAGCCACCTCACCCAGTAGGATGGCTCCAGCTAGCCCAGCCCCCACTCCATCCTCAGGCCACGGGCAGGCTAAACAAGAGAAAAACTCTCTTTCTGTCCATAGCAGGGGCCGCCCATGGTGCTGGCTGCCTGGGATGGGCACCCATGGCACAGTGAGGAGAGGCTGGCTGGAGGAGCAGAGACCCGTAGGCACCTGCCCTGGGGCAAGCCCTGGCATGGGGGAGCGGGTAATATTGCTTCTCTCCTACTTACTCCCTTCTGGTGATGCTCAGGGCCCAAGGAGCCTGGACCCAGGGGACACTGGCAACTGGGGCCAGCAGCCTGGGTAGCCAATGAAGGGCAGAGAGCAGGCAGGGATCTCAGGCCCCACTCCTGGCCCTGCTCAGGCACCCCAGCCTCCCTCTCACAGCCCCCAAGGCTTGTCTTGCACTCAGCCAGAGCAAGGCCCTGTGGAGAGAGTGCCCTGGGGGCGGGTCACCAAATGCCCATCCCTTCCATGAGTTCCTAGCAGAACCGCTGACTCATCTTTGGCTTGAGATGGGGTGCAGGCAACAGGTGGAGCAAATGTCACAGAGCAACGGTGTGGCTTTCCACTGTGGGGCTTTATCACCCCATTTCCTTCGGTGTCTCTGTTGAATCTTTGGCATTGAACTTCCGCAGCTGGACAGTGGGCCTTGGGCTCTGAGTGAGTAGGGGCTGATCTCTCCCTTCCCCACCAGGCAGAGGGCAAAGTGCAAAGCAGCCTCGGAGTGGCTAGGTGGGGGCAGAGGAGAGAGGGAGGCAGGCGTGCTCCAGGCCGACCCTGAGAGGCTGTGGTCTGGGTGTCTGGTGGCATCTTGGAGAACACCACCAGGCTGGACTGTGCAAGCTCACCTTGTCCTCAGGCCTGATGGGTAGGAGGGCTCACAGCTGTGGCCTCGGTCTCTCCTGTAGCCAGTCACTCCTGAAAGACATGAGCAGCCATAAGAAAGCTGCCCTTACTCCACCTGGTTCCTATTTCCAGACAGTTGCAGAATGTCCCCTCACTGAATCCTCCCGGCAGGGGCCTCTACCTTGAAGGGTTCGATAAGTGGAAGAGCCAGGGTTCAAACCCAGGCCTGGCTGCCTCCAGAGCCCACACTCCTGCCTCCTCCTCAGTGCTGCATTTCAGAGCCCCTTTCCCCAGAGTCTGGGGAAAGAAGAGGACCACAGTGGGTATCAGGAGCCGGGGCCACTGGAAGCTCGGGGACACCTGGGGCTGACACCACAATCCACAGGGCCGCCCCTCTAAGGGGTCTCAGAGTCAGGCCCATTCCCACCCTGGGGTGGCAGGCTCCTCTGTAGGCTCAGTCCGACTGGAATGGCCATCCGTGGCTTCCTTGCACTGCCCTGGGAGTCAGAAGGCCCGCTCTAGTTGTAGCACATTCACCTGCCAGCTGAGTGACTAGAAACTAGTCACTTGACTTCACTAGGCCTCAGTGCCCTCAGATGTAAAATGGCATGGCTGCAGCAGATCAATGATTTTCAAGCTCCTTTTAAGCAGGAGAATGAAGTACATGAAGCGTTAACACAGAAAACATGGTTCAGTCGATTTGCTGCAGTGGAGTCAGGGGATACACAGGGAGGGGGACCCAGAAACCTGTTGCATTCTTCCCAACAGAGCCTGGGACATGTATGAGAATCTGGGTGCTGAGGAGCACAGTTGGAAAACTGCCGGGTTAGACCACCTTTAAGTTCCCTGAAACCCTCATCTGTGCAATCCTCATTCTGGCAGCTGAACTTGGTGCTCTGAGCAGAGGGTGGAACTGGCTACCAGGAAGGGATGGGAGAGGGGGAAAGGTCATGTAGGCTGGGAGTTCTAGCTCTCTGGGGAGTTAAGAGCTGGTGGGGAGGCTCTGTGAGATCTCCAGATCCACCCAGAATGAAAAATAACAAAATCCCTGACCCTGGTAGGGCACACTCCTCTTAAAGCAACTCCCAACACCCTTTGGATTCGTGCTCCAACCCTCAACCAACAGCTATTAATAAGTAGTTATTTTTAAAGCAAACATCTGTCAGGCACTTCTAACCTGCCAGGGAGCATTCCTATTCCCCCGTCTCACGAGTGAGCAATCCCAGGCTCCGAGAAGGAAGTGCTAGAAGTTGCCAGCACCAGGATTTGAATCCAGATCGGCAGTGTTCATCCTGCCACAGAGGCTGCTCTCGCTGAGACGGAGGCTTGAGGAGCCAGGATGGAGCCAAACCACGATGTTGGAGGGCCTGCTAACCACAGGCCCTGGTCAGCCCTGTGGGCCGGGGCTGCCGGCCAAGACACAAGGCTGGGGCAAGGCTGAAGTGGGGTCCAAGGAGGGCAAGGGAGCCGGGCCAGAGGGAGGGAGTGCTCTCCAGCTAATAGTGGCTCAGGAGGGAGAAAAGGAAAAGTGAGAGGCGGGAGCATCTTGATGTGGTAAATCCCAGGCTCACATTCTTCAAGCCCACTGTGCATGGCTGGCCCCAGCAGGAATCTGCTTTGTGTTATGGAGTCTGAGGAGGAGGATTAAGAAGCGGAAAGGAAACCCGTGGGGATGGCACTGAGTCTGTGGTCCATGGGGTGATTTACAGCCCCCGTCATCCCAGCGCGGGCTGCCTGGGCCAGCCCTGCCATGGGCAGAAAAAGTTTTTCTCTATTCAGCCTGCCTGTGGCCTGAGGAAGGAGCAGAGGCTGGGTTGGCTGGAGCCGTCCTCCTGGGCATGCTCTAAAAGCAATTGGGGCAGCCTGGGGCTAGTCCCAAGCCGTCTGCTGGCTGTCAGTCCCTGCTGAAGCCATGGCTGCCATCGAAGATGAAAGGAGACAGGGGTTTCTCTCAGCAAGGCCTGACCTTCAATTCATGACCCCAGACTTTTCCTGGTGTCTACACTGGACCATCACCACCTCTGCCCAGGAATCCCAACACATACGTCATCCATCCTAGGAAGTCTTATGTTCAGAGGGATGTAATGGGAAGAAGACTGGGAGGCCTCAGGTGCCAGGACTTTCTCTGCAGTTAAGCAGCTGTGTGACCTTGGGTAGTTCACTCTTCTGCTCTGTGCTTTTTTTGAAACAGGGTCTCACTTTATCACTTAAGCTGAGTGCAGTGGTGTGATCACGGCTCACCACAGCCTTGACCTTCTGGGCTCAAGTGATTTTCCTGCCTCAGCCTCCCAAGGAGCTGGGACTATAGGCATGCACCACCACACCCAGCTAATTTTTTATTTTATTTTTTATAGAGACAAGGTCTCACTACGTTGCCCAGGCTGCTCTTGAACTCCGGGACGCAATCCCCCTGCCGTGGCCTCCCAAAGTTACAGGCATGGGTCACTGTAGCCAGCCTCCCCAACTGATTTGACCATGTAATTGCTACTGCATGGTGAGGAGCAGAAAGTCGCTTCAACCCTCCAGGAAAGGGAAGGTCATTAAAAGCTCAAAAGGGCATTTCACAGAGACCAGGGGAAAGGTCTCAGGAAAGACAGCAAAGGGCAGTCTGTGGCTTCCCTCTAGATGCCTGCTAATAACAGCCACTTGCAGGTATCTGCCTTCCACACTGGGTGCTGACTAGCCTGGTCTCCCAGCACGCCAATCCCCAACACCCAGCAGAGGACACCCATTGGTCCAGCCTAGGTCCGATTCCTTCCCCTGGACCAATCGGCTGTGGCTGACGGATATATCAATGATACCTCTTCATAAGGGGCTATGTGTGTAGGAGCGTGCATGTGGGGTGTATAGTTGCAAATATGGAGAACAGCAAGCATCCCCACTATGACCACCACACCACAGAACCCCTTTTCATGGAACGCCTGGCAACATCCTGTGTCCCGTGTGAGGGTCACAGTGCGGGAGCTTGCATTCCCCCAGCTCTGGCCCTTTGTGGGTTTTTGTGTTTCTGCTGCCAGCCAAGGCTCTAGGTCCAGCTTACTCCCTGGCTCACTGTCCTCAGAGCCCTTGCCACCACAGAGGATGTCCTTTAAACAACAGGTTCTGCTGCTAAAATTAACCCTGAGAATGACTAGATGAGATAGTCTCACAGGTCCCTCTTAGCTGGTCCAACATGCTAAGTCAGAGCAAGGTGATTTGGTCAGATGGCCAAGTGGGACCATTCATCACAAGCAGAAATCATCTTTTTATCTGTTCACTTGTTTGGGGTCAGAATGCCAGCTCCACGAGGGCAGGGACGTGGCCTGTTTTGTTTGCTGGCTCCAATGCCCAGCATTGTGGCTCCAATGCCCAGAACAGTGTCTAACACACAGCAGTATCTCAGTAAATATTGGGCCAAGCGTGGTGGCTCACACCTGTAATTCCAGCACTTTGGGAGGCTGAGGTGGGAAGATCTCTTGAGGTCAGGAGTTCGAGACCAGCCTGGCCAACATGGCAAAATCCCATTTGTACTAAAAATACAAAAATTAGCCTGGTTTGGTGGTGGACGCTTGTAATCCCAGCTACTTGGGAGGCTGAGGTAGGAGGAGCTCTTGAACTCAGGAGGCAGAAGTTGCAGTGAGTTGAGATGCCACTGCACTCCAACCTGGGTGTCAGAGTGAGACTCCGTTTCAAAACGACAACAACAAATAAATACTGGCTGACTCAATCATAGCTACTTCCTGTCACAGGCATTTTACTCACTGTGGCTTTTATATAGTGCAAGATATTTCTCCCGTTTTAAATGTAACATTGACCGTTTATGTAAATATGTCTATCTATACTTTAGGTGAAGTTGTGGTAATTATTATGAAACCCTGGAAAAATTTAGTATCCTTCACGCTTTTGTTCATTTCCAGTTTTAAAAGATTTTTCTAATTATACTTCCTGGGCTTGCTAAGCTTGTCTCTGGTTTTAAACGCATTGTTCTCCTCTCCTGATCACTTCTGTGCACTGCAGGGTAATTCTCACCACTTCGGAGCATTTAAAAAAACAATTTTATCTGCCTTGTTCACTTTACCTACTTAACCATTTTCCACTATTTCAAATTATACACTTTTTTTTTTTTAATTTAAGCAATTTGGATACAGCCTTCTACATACAGAAGGGGAAAAGCCTCCAACGGGGTTGAAATTCTGCCTGTTTTTTAAATTGGTCTTTCCTAAAAAGGGCAGTCAGAGTTCAAATGTTATTTTGAAACTAAAAGGATAGTTTGCCTTTCACTTTTAAGTATACCAGTATGTGGGCTGGAAGGGCGGTTTCATGTTTGCCTCTGAATGCTGCTCTTGATTTTTACTGGGGCTCATCTTGGCCCTAAAGTCAGCTGGGGGTCCCGGAGCAGGATGCTTAAATTCTCCAAGCCTCAGCTTCCTCTTTTTTTTCTTTTTTTGATACAGGGTCTTGCTCTGTTGCCCAGGTTGGAATGCAGTGGTGTAAACAAGGCTCACTGCTCAGGTGATTCTCCCCAATCAGCTTCCTGTATCAGCCACCACAGGCTCATGCCACCACACCTGGTTAGTTTTTTTTTTTTTTTTTTTATCTTTTTTTATCTTTTGTAGAGACGGAGTCTCACTTTGTTGCCCAGGCTGGTCTCAAACTTCGGGGATCCTCCCACCTCAGCCTCCTGAAATGCTAGAATTAGAGATGTGAGCCCCAGTGCCTGGTCAGTTTCCTCACCTTTATTTATTTATTTACTTATTATCAGAGTCTTGCTCTGTTGCCCAGGCTGGAGTGCAGTGGCGTGACCTTGGCTCACAAGTAACCTTCACCTCCTAGGTTCAAGCAATTCTCGATTCTCAGCCCCCCAAATAGGTGAAATTACAAGCATGTGTAATCACACTTGGTTAATTTTTGCATGTTTAGTACAGATGGGGTTTCACCATGTTGGCCAGGCTGGTCCTGAACTCCTGACTTCAAATGGTCCACCTGCCTCAGCCCCCTAAAATGCTCTGCTTCAAAAAACAAGGAAAGAAAGAAAGTACAGAAAAGTGAACAGAAAGAAAATCACTTCAGTCACCTTAATCTTTCCACTGAGAGCAAACACTCACAACAGTTGGGTGACTGCTGTCCTATATGCTATTCCCATGCGTGTGCACTCAAATACGGTATTTTATGAAAAGTGGAATTACGCTGTACAAGCCGCACCGTAAGCTGCGTTGGTGTTTTCTTTAACGCTCAAGCCTGGACATCCTTGCGTTTGAAAGATCTGTTTTCACATCTTCTCCAAGGGCTAGGCTTTGCAGAGGTTATTCTGGGCACAGGCACAAGACTTGGGCTTCTGGCCTCCATGCTCCCCAGGGACCCAGAAGCAGGTATGGCCTGGGTGCCATGGGTGACAGGCAGGAAATTTATGAGCAGTTGTAGTTGGCTGCTATTTGCTGAGGGTGGGAACATGGCATGAATTTAGGATAGTGTTGTGTCCAGGCTGGGAGGGCCCTTCAAGGTCCCGACTTTCTAAGAGTTCAATTATGGCCAGACCCTTTAGTGAGCCAGGACAGTTGGCCTAGGGGCCAAGAATGGGGAGGAAAAAGTCATCTATTCAGCAAAGATGTATTAGTTCCTAAGAGGGGCTAGCTCTGCACCAGGCACTGGAGTTAGAGGCCCTGCCCTGGGGTAGCTTATATTCTAATTCTAGGGGAAAGCTGAGGACCACCATTCCTGGCCACTACTGTGGATTCCACCCTGTCCTTTCTATATTTCTCAAGGCTTCCCATCAGAGAGGTGAGGATTGGCACAGGCCTCAGCTGTGCTGGGCAGACAGCTGCCCCACAGGTCCCAGCTCCCCAAGTCAGGAGCAAGGTAGAACTAGCGGTCCAGCTCCTCCTTCACTGAGGCCAATAGACGTGTTCAAACCTCAGAGTCAGTCAAGGCGGTACAGAACTTTCCTATCAGTAAGAAACAATTGTTGCATCAGACAATGTTGAGGATGAGAGCAAGTAGCCTGGGGGAGCCCTTCCTGTGCTGAGATGCTAGAGGTGGTGCTGGGTCCCAGGTATTCTAGGCTGGCATTTATTGAGCACCTACCATGCACGCCACGATGCTGCAGGGCCTACTTGGAGTTACTTCCACCCATTAGAATGTAGGTTCCACACGTGCAGGGCTGGGGCGGTGGATTGTCAGTTGAGTCCTTGCTGCCTCCCTAGTTAGGGACAATGAGAGCCTGCTCATGTCCAACCTCTTACCCCCATCGGCCCCATGCCTACTGCAAGCTGGGGACAACAGATGCCTCCTCTGAACTCCCGAAGCTCTTTATCCCAACTCCTCCTACATCCTCTCACACCACGAATGGTTGTTGGTGTGACTGCCACAGTCCCCTCAGCTACACCTCCACCATTAGCACCCCATCCTCCCAGGACCTGGGAACAGAAGCAAGTGCTCCAGTGCCCAGTGCCACCATTTGCGGAGCGTGGCCACTTGCCAGGCACTGTGCCACACTCATTTGCATGCACTGTCATTTGCAGTTCCTGGGAGGTGCACCCATGTTGCAGATGAGAAAATGAAGGCCTGAGTGGTGACCTCACTTGCCGTAGGCCACTCTGCCAGAATGCAGCAGAGCGAGGTAAACCCTGAACCCCTACAGACCTTAGTTTCCTCACTGACAAACAGTAATGGCAGGTCCCCAAGCCATCCACCCAGCTGTCACCTCCCTGGTTCTAAGAACATCTTGGCCTTTGACTTCTGGAGTCTAAGGGGAGGTAACTGGCAGTGAGAAGCTCAACCCCCCAGGACCCGAGCTCAGAGGAGCCCGCTGGGCCTGCAGGGGCAGCCATGCTGTGCCGATGCCTTCTCGGGCTGCAGGCCACTCTCTCTGGCTGCCAAGCTGTTTCCTTCTTCGTGCTCTGCCTGTGTGTCTCTGCCAACTCTTCCTTGGCCTCTTCTTCATTTGTCTCTTCACGTCCATCAGTCTATCTGTCTTTCTGGGCCCCTACTCCAGCTCACCCCCAGAGTGGGGCACTGTGAGGGTCGAGCTGGCCAGGCAAAGCTTCAGGCAGCTGCTGCGGCTTCCCATCTGCTTCTGTCCTGTGAAGCTGTCCGGGCATCACACTTGGCTTCACTGTTCTTTCAGATGCCAGCAGCTCAAAGGGCCCATAGCCATGCTGCACAGCCAGAGGAGGCACCCAGGCTGGAAGAAGTACCCAGGCTGGAGGGGGTACCCAGGCTGGAGGGGCACCAAGACTGGAAGAGATACTCAGGCTGGAGGGTGCACCCAGCCTGGAGGAGGTACCCAGGCTGAAAGGGGCACCCAGGCTGGAGGAGTTACCCAGGCTGAAAGGGGCACCCAGGCTGGAGGAGGCACCCAGGCTGGAGGAGGCACCCAGGCTGGAAGGGGCACCCAGGCTGGAGGAGGCACCCAGGCTGGAGAGGGCAGCCTACCTGGCTGGAGGAGAGCAGACTGGTGGCCCAGCCATGCAAGGAAAACCTTGCTCTTCACCTGTCCTGTGGGTCTGACTTATGATCCTCATACAGACACCCAAACACAACACGTAAGTTCATATTCCCCGACCACAGTGGAGGGTCCCCATCAGGCCTGCCTCCTCCTGGACTAGGAACTGCTCCCATCACCCTGCTGCCTCTCACAGAGCCTCCCCTCCCCAGTCCTTACGCAAAGTGACAGCAGGGACTGATGGGCACCAACCAGACAAGCCAAGTCACACCAAAGCGTTGGCCAGCAAGCCTTCGAAGAGACCACAGTGCTTCTCCGGGAGACTCCCAGGAGGGAGCCCAGCTGTGGATATTTCAGGACCACTGGGCCACCTGTGGCTTGGAGAGGCCATGAGCCCTTTGGAAAGCCCAAATAATCCAACGATTTCAGCAAAAACAGTGTGCGTTCCATGCAGATGCAGTTTTAAGATGAGGAACACTTCCCCTAGCCTCTTCCATTGTCTCTAAGCCCCTCCCCTAGCTAGATGCAGGCACCACCAAGGGATCCAGGTGGGGGTGAGGACATCTTTGATCAGAGGTCTTTACTCTCACACACACACACACACACACACACACACGTGTACATGTGCACACCCACTGGTGGTTAAATGTGCCAGCTATGGCACCAGACTGCCTCTGTTTGAAGCCTGACTTCCCCATTCTACCAGCTGCATGGCCTTGAAAGAAGAGACCACATATGTTTCATAACTTATAAAATGGTAATAGTAGTATCTACTGCATGAGCTTGCCAGGAAGATTAAAGAACACAATGGCTGCAAAGCCAGGCACTCGGTGTTGGAGCACGTAGGCTCCACGGGGGTGGGGTAGGAAGAGTCCCCAGCCACCCCAACCACCCCATTTACCCACCACCAACTCAAGGCAGGAACTTCATCTCCACTTTGGATCCCCAGGGCCTCCCTCTGTACAGGCACAGAAGAGCTACCCATTCGATATTTGTGGAAAACAACTGAAAACATCTCCTTGCCTCATGCTTCCATTGCTCCATTCATCTAGCAAATGTTTACCAAGCATTTAGGCCACACCAAGCTCCACTGGAGGCTCTGGGGATCCCACAGTGAACAAAACAGATGAGAAGCCCAGCCTTCCCAGCTCCGCCATCCTAGGAGACAGGCTCCTGCACAGAAGCAGACTTCCCTGGAGAAAGGAAGCCACATGTTTTCTGTGCCAAAACAGCGTGGATGGGCCCTTTCCCAATAACTGATGCACTTCCCTGCATTCTCAGCCCGACGTTACTGGATGTACTTTAGCTTCCTCTGGACAGCTCAAGGTCAAGCCCATGAACATCAGTGCACACACAATTCCAAGGTCCCTGAGGCTGCGGGCTCTCTGCCCTGACACTAAGGGGGCCCGCAGCCCCTCTGCCCTGACACTAAGGGGGCCCGCAGCCCCTCTGTCCTTCTGAGCCTCTGACCTTGTTCTTTATTGTGTGTCTGTTTCTTCTTACTCGATGAAGCCACTGGCTGATTCTGGGTGCTATCTCTGTAGCTGCTCCAGGACCTGATCCCCTAGCCCCTGCTGTCGCAGGCTGTTTTTTGTTCTGAGGTTCAGATCTGAGGGGCCTGAGAGTCAGGCTCAAAAGAACTGTATGCAGACTAAGTGTAGTAGGCTCCAAAGACCGTCCCAAGGTGCCCTTCTCTCAATTTTTACGCATAGCCTTTTTGTAGTTTAGCTCTGAGTTCCAAAGAGTGGGGCCTGTTTTATTCTCCCAAATGCCTCCAGCACTAGAACAGCAACTGACAGAGTAAACACGCAGGAAGATTTATTCTGAAGTAGATGTGCAGGGCAGGGCCCTTCAGGTTTTACTCATCTTTCAAAACTCATGTACCTAAAAAGACTGAACACATGAAGAGTCCCTGCATGTGCGTGTGGAGGGGGTGGGTGGGCTGTGGTGGTAGGGACTCGAGTGTACGTGGTGGTAGCAACAGGGCTGGCAGGAAAGCAAGGCGGGAGGCACAGCTGCTGGGACGGGGAGGGGTGGCTCTTAGCAATGCCAGTCACAGCTCCCCAGATTCCAGGTGGGCTCCACACAGCTCACTCCCGGAGCTGCCCTCCATGTGCCCAGCTGCCTGGCTCTGCCCCACCCTGCCCTGCCACAGAGGGGCCATGTTTAATGGCTCCAGGGCTCGGTGCAGGGAAGGCAGTTTGGAAACCCTTGAAGACCACCAGCTGCCTTCTAGGGGGTACTCCCTTCCCATGTGCATGGGAAATCAGGCCACCATGCGGGGGGGCCTCCACCTGACCCCAACAGACGGTGCCTACAGATGCGCCAGCACACCTGTGTGTGTGCATGCATGCACGTTCTCTAGGTCACCAGGTAAGGAGGGGACACTTAGATCCTTCTGTCCACTTTCCTGACAGTCCTCCAGTGACCCTCTCTGACTGCTGTTCCTTCAGTTGAAAAAATGCTTTGACAGCCCTAATTTCCTCAAACACTCCTCACCTGGTTTTATCCACATTTGATGAGGAAAATGAAGCTTGTTGAAGGCAAGTGCCTGAGGTTACAGAGCTCCTGAGTGGTTGGGCTGAGACTCAGACCTGTGCCCCCAGCCCCAGGTCCCACACTGCTGGCAACCCTCGAAGCTCATACTCTTCCCTTTGAGAGAACAAAGGACAGAGGACAGCAGTCGCCGGGATTCAGCCTGTCCAAGCCCTGCCCAGCCCTGCCTGAGTCTGCTTGAGTCTGGGTGACTTCACCTCATCTCACTCCCATGTTTAATAATGTGGATCCCAGGAGCTTGTTCTAGGATTTGAGAAAGTGATGGGTGTGAGAGGGCCCTGCAAACTGGAAAGTGCTGTGAACAGGAATGAGGTCACTGGGGGCCTAGTTAGGTCATTTCGGTTCTATGAACCTCGGCACTGTCACCTGAAAATGGAGCTAGTGACAGCCGCTTTGTGGGGCTGTGGTGAGGACTGGGCAAACTCGAAGTGGGGCTCTGAGATCATGGTTAAGGTAATGACACTGGTTTGCTCCCCTGGGAAGAAAACCACCTTGTCACAAATCAGGACCAACCCTGCAGGCATGAGTAACGTGGCTGTTTTCTCTGCTGCCCTCCCAGCTGACAGAGCTCGATGTTTTTCTTGGGTTCGAGGGGAGCATCTTCCTTTGGGGGAAGGGAAGGGCTGTCTGGGCAAGACTGACTGCCCTGCTGAGGAGAAACATTCTTCCTGGCATGGCCCCCTACCCTGACTGTAGCTGCAGTTTGAGGATGAAAAGCTTGGTGCTGTGGCAACCACTCTGCAACCATGAGGCAAAGATCAAAAGAAGCCTGGACTCTTGGATTCCAGGGAGCAGCTGACTTCTGAACTATGAAAAATGCCAGCCCCCGTTAGTTTAGGCTACTGCTTGAGGGGTTTCTGTTATTAAAACACAATGCTTTCCTTGCAGATTCAAGGGAACAAGGGTATAAGCCCAGCTGGGGCACAGGACAGCCCAGGGGCATTTCCCTAGTTGTGTCTAATGCCCCTAGTTAATCCTTCCCTAGAGTCCTTGCCTTCAGCATAGGGACAGTCAGCCCTAGCAGTGTGGATTTTGGTGGAAGGAATGGTGTTCGTTATTTGGGGCCCTAGTATGTGCCAGGAGATGGGATACAAAGAGAAAGGGGCTCACAGTCTAGCTAGAGACACAGGCACTAATCCAACACTGTGTAACATGGTGTCATGGGATTAATATCACATTACATCTTATGTCACACAGCA